TGCACACTGTCGGTTTAACGTATACTACAACTTTCATTTATATCGCTAAGGCTAAAAGCACTTTATCGTAAACTCACTTTTACGTCACGCAATGTCGTGCCGGTTCTGTCGCGAAACTTCGACATGTCATAACTTCTTCGTTATAACTCAGATTTCGGCATTCTTTATATCTCCAGAATCCTTGTCACGACTCCTACAACTTTCTTCATAGGTATCGGGTTTTTCTAACATTTTATTTTTGACGCTTATTTTTATTATTTCTTTACAAACAAGTATATAATCATATAAAATCACATAATTCACATAATATTCAAGTAATTCATTTTTATTACTTTAAGATAGGTTACAATGGTTGACCTAGACTATTACATCATCATACTAATGTTTAGCCTAGAAACACGGGCATTACATTCAAGTCTCTAAGGCCAGGCATTATCTCAAGCTTTGAGCAGCTGAAATAACTTTTCCTCAACAACTTCATGCAGTTGAGAAATGGAAAAGGGGACGCCAACTCTATGATGGCGTGCAAGCAAAATGAAGGAGAATCTATCCATGACTATTACGACCGATTCACGCTAGCTACCTTGAATGTCCCAGGTCATGAAGAGTTCATGGTGACAAGCGCCTTCGCCCAAGGTCAGCTTCCTGGACCCCTATCGAGGAAGATGCAAGGAACAGTTCACGGGCATACATGTAGGTTTGATCCCATTAGATAAGTGAGTTGGGCCCATTTTATGTTGGGTTAGGCCCATTGTATGACATGTCAGGCCCAATTGTATGTTGGGTTGGACATAATGGAAACAAACCCGCATACTCTGCCTGCAGTCTCTACCAAAGTGCCCCTCCTTGCCACACTTACGACATGCAAAGATCGGCACCTCCCACTGTGAAACTTCCCGCACGTGCCACATCCAAAACTCTTCCTCTTAGCTGGTTCTGAACTCGAGTCGGTGGACTTGAACTGCTTGACCCACTACTGGATGCTCCAACATGGGCTTTCCCTTTCTAATTGGGTTGGGCGTTTGCCTTTATTTTCTTTCCTCTGTCATGATTGATGATCAAGACAGGAGCACTTGTCACAGAAGGGAAATGAATCTTGTTCATTCCTGATTCAACAGTTTATAACAAGTTATGGAGTTGGGTCAATGTCATCTCCTTGTTGTTCAAATGATAGGTCAAAATAAACTGATCATAACTAGCAGCTAGGGAGTTAAGGATGATATCAATGGACATTTCCTTGTCAAATGTGACATTGAGTTTTTACAACCTCCCCACATATCTCTACATCTTTTGCATATGAGCGCAAATATATTCTCATTCCTTCAACTTACACGTAATTAAGGACTTAACGACTTCATACCTTTCTTGTCTTGATTTCTTGTGAAACTTTTCAGCAAGATCTAAGCTTATTTTGTATCGCCAATAGTCCTCATAAAACTTTTATAGCTTAGCTACCATGGTTCCAACCATTATGCAAGTGACCTTAGTGGCATCGTCAGTATGTTGTTTGAGTAGCAGAAGTTTCACCATTTCCAGACATTTGTTTGAGAGAGACATTTTTAGTTAGTCAATTTATATCGTTAATATTTTAACCCAAATTAATATTCAAGGATATGATCCTAAATATAATTCGAAATGAGAAGAGGGATGCCGTAATCTAATTACAAATTTATTTAAGTAGGCACAATTCTAATTTCATTCTAATATGAAAGTCCTAGATATTTTGAGATTCATTGAATCTTATCAACGACATGTTTAATCTCATATATGCTTTTCCATTGTTTACGGGATGTCGAGGATCACAAACAAGATGTGAATAACCATGCAAAAACGCATGACATACTTGAGGTCATTTATGATCTCACATTGATGTGCCAGTAAAACACACATGCTCCATCAACAACCATAAAATCGATTATGTATCATCATTTCTACTTTGTAGTCCCACTTTAGTATGTCTGTTAAACACACACGCTCCACTAATGACTAACAAAGAAATGATGTGCATTTTCATGGATTAACATATATTTCACATTTTTTCCTAAAGTGACTAGAGTGGGACTTTTGAAAAATGTTCTAGTACTTTATTATTATAATTCTAATCTTTTTATGTCATATTAAACCCATTTGGTTAACAACCCTCCACCGCACAAAGGAACGGTGTGTGAAAAGGACACTCATTAAACGATCATTTTATAGGCTGTTTCATTATACTCATCTTATAGCATGATTTCGTGAATGAGGCCTACTATTGATTTGACTAACTTTTCTCATACATATAATATTAAAGTTATTATACATATGTATATGATGTATTTTAAACAATTTAAAAACTTTAAGGTTTAAAATTTAATTTTAAATTAACCATTAATTAATTAATCTTTTTAAACCAATAAATGATTTATCTGTATCTTTTAATTAAATTAATTAAATCATTTAAATAATTTATGGATTTAATATTTTTCTTTTGATTAGCATTAACTAAATCAGATATTAAAATCCATAAGGATAATCATACAATTATCTTATAACAAGATTAGTTTCCATGTTTATCTCCTTATATTGAAAATTAGGATTTTAATCATATAAGGCAAGTAAAATTCAGATTTTAACAGAACCAAAACCAGTTAATGACTAAGTAACAACCAACTAATCAAATAAGGCAGAAAAATGAGTAGAAAAAACGAAAACAGATAGACACGACACACCATTTTTGATTTTATTGCTTTCTCAATTCATCTCATGCATAATTAATGTAAGACGATCTGACTCTGATACCATCAATGTGTTTCATAGGTTAAAATATTCATGTACAAAGTGAAAAAATAACACGTAACAATTAAGGGTACATGCAACCTATAAGGATGTATGTCTTCACATTAAAGACAACATTACTATAAACTAGAAACCCTAGATTAACCCCTATAATAATCGAAATTGCTAGATTAGGGTTGGATACCTTTTGAATTGTTATTGCAAACAATTCTTTTGATTATTTCCTTTGTAGATCTGCAGAAAGTTTGGACTAAAATGATGATGCATCTAATGGCTCACACCGAAAGCTATAAACAATAACACAAGAGAGGAGACGCAAATTTTCGCCAAGGGTATTTTAGAAAGTAGTGGCCGAAAATTACAAGCCTTATGCCTCTTTATATAGCTGTTAGTAAACCCTAGAAATCTTAGATTTGAACATAAAATAATATTATTTCAAATACCGGTAATTATCTACTTTCCTTATATCAAGTGGAGCATTCCAGATAGCCTTGCAAGACACTCTAAAAACCGTCCATAGCAAGAGGTTTTCAGAACCTCTCATTTGCTCAACTATTAATCAATTACCAAGTAGCCCTTGCACTTCCAACTAATTCTAATTGATCCCAAATTAATTCCAAATTAATTCTGATCATTTTTTAATTAATTTAATCTATTTCTAATTAATTTATTAATCATATAAGAAACTAATAAATTATTTCCTCTCTCTACAAATGTCATTCTAATAAGTTTCTAGCTATGAGTATGAGTGCAACCCAAAAAAAATTTGCTTCTAATTACAAGTTTATATTAATTTAGTTATGAGCTTAAACACCTTAATACAACAATAACTATTCAAGAAACAAATAAATAACAAAGTTTGGGTTAAGAAAAATGTAATTTGCTAAAGTCTAGAAGTGATAAAAATAACGGACACGGTGAAACTAAAAACTTATATTTTTAACATGTATGAGTGCAAGTAAATATGAAATAGACTTGGAATTTTTTTATAACATATTGGAATTTGGAAATATTATAGTAGCAAATTATATGAGAAATTAGACATTCCATAACAATTCCTATTTTAGGAAACTTTAGCGAACCAAATTGTCAAAAATGGCATAAAAAAGGTAAAATGAGAGATGTTTTTATATGTAATCATTACTATGAACTTATAAACATGTTATCATGATCTCTCTTGCAAAACTCCTTAACAATATCAGGCCTTTGATCCTCCAACCGAGAAGAAAAGAAGCAAAAGGGAAAGGGACCAATGTAGTGTTGAAACATGTTCAAGATACAATAAACAATCTAAGTTTAATGCTGAATCATCCAGTAAAATATCAACGATCCTTCACCAAGTTAAAAAAAGAAAGTACGTCCGTTCCGGGGAAAAGAAGTCTTTCCTTTTCATCAATTTTGCAAATAGGTTGTTTGATTGAGACAAATGCATAGTAGTAGTTGTTAAATGTTCACCCCTAAATATTCCAAGAATGCATGATTTGAAAAAGTCTCACTTTTTGCAGTCCTAAATTTTGTTTTAATTTTTTTTTATTTCATTTTGTTGGTCTTATTTGAATTCATTAAATTTCTAGTAACATGCATTAGCAAGGTTATTTATCAGAGAATACAAAAGGATTCTTTCTTAATTTACCAGTAAAATTAACAATATGTCACCGATCGTCATTATTTATGTGATCAGTATTAAAAACGTCATATTTGAAATTTTGTTGGGAACTTGCAAAAGGGCAAACACTCCTATTTTCATTATGATAGAAACTTCCTTGTGCACTTGAAACTCTCCTAAACAAAACAAAGCAACATCAAGACATTTGGCAACTAAATTTGTGTAAAACAAGAGAATGAAGACAACTTGCTGTATTATTAAATAACAGATAATTAACAGGTTATTCGATTACTAATACCATGATATTATTAGTAATGATCACTAGCAGATTAAACCTATGTATTGAGTCATTCATATAGACAACATCTCCATATTTCAGTGAAAGGTCCAACAAACTTCTTCCATATAATCCTTTGTCCTTGTTGTACTGTCTTATATTCTTTACCAAGATCCATCAATTAACACAATGCATTTCCTGCATACAATATATGCTGTACTTTCCTTCATCTTCTTATTTTGTAGTATTGTTTTAGTTTCTTCTTCCCATTCTGGAGATGACACCGATCGTTCAGCCTTGCTCTCAATCAAGGCATATATAACATCTGACCCATTTCAAATCATGCATTCCTGGAACGAATCAATCCACATATGCAACTGGACAGGTATTCTATGTGGTCCCAGGTACCAGCGGGTGGTCACCCTCAATTTGTGGTCTGGTGGGTTTTCAGGTTCCATATCACTTGAAGTTGGTAATATGAGTTTTCTTAGAGAGCTCATCCTTTACAACAACAGTTTCACAGGCGTCATCCCACAAGAGATTGGCAGGTTATCAAGATTAAGAAGGCTAGGACTTTCCAACAATTCTTTGTCAGGTGAAATCCCTTCGAATATATCTCAGTGTCAAAATCTTGTAGCACTTCAGTTGAATGGGAACAATTTCATAGGTGCTATTCCTAATGAGTTTGAATCCTTGACTAAGCTTCTATCCATAAACCTCCACTACAATGATCTAACAGGAGAAATACCAAAGTTTATTGGAAACTTTACATCCCTTAGGGAGGAGGGAGTCGTTCCCTCCCAACCCACTGAACCCACAGCCACATCAGTTTTTCTCTTTGATTTTTCTTCATCTTTCCCAACCCACAACACACGGAAATCCTATCTTTCTCAACC